TTTTGATGGAAAGTATGGGATTTTTCCCTTTTGTGTACCAGGAAAGAGCCAAAAAGAGCAGTAAGAATAGAAAAACAGGAACTTTAGAAACAAAAGCATGTCAACATGTTACAAAGGAGGTCATTAGGGAGACACTACTCCCTAAGGTGATACCGACAATCATACAAAAATGGCCAAGACAATTGGGGACAGATGTGATTATTCAATGGGACAATGCAAGGCCCCATAAAATACCAACTGATCTTTAGTTCACAACAACATTAACTCAGGAAGGATTCAATATAAGGTTTGTATACCATCCCCCCCCCCATCCCCTAAATTGAATGTGTTGGACTTGGGCCTCTTCACTTCAATACAACCAATCCAATATCAGTCTTTTCCCCAAAAATTTAACTGAGTTGATTGAAAAAGTGGAAGAAGCATATGAGTCATTTGATCCAACTGTAAACAAGCACACTTGGCTCACCTTACAAGCTTGTATGTTGTAAATACTCAAAAAACAAGGTGGTAACAACTTCCCACCACTTCATAAAGCAAAACAAAGACTTAAAAGACAAGGTTTACTATCAGACAACCTAGAGGTAAGCAATGAGCTGATTGAACAATTTGTCAAGTTCCTAAGTGACAGATTCAGGCCAACAAATGCAACAAGTGAAGAACAAGACAGATAGGCAGGAAAGATTGATGCTGATTAAGTCATGGAGAGTATGAACAAACTGCCACACATAACCAACATATTGTCTGCAAGATTTTGTAACAAACCAGTTCATGGTTATGTGTATTCTGGTTATGATCTTTTGTTTTTTTTTCCCTTTTGTGAAGGGCAGTTAGGTTACCGTAGTTGTCTTGTATGTGCTATTAGTGGGACTTTTGCTAAAATGGAATGAAATGACTATATTTTGAAATTGCTTCTTAATCTTGCACATTCAAATCGGTTGGGGGTAGGGTCAATAACAAGGAATCATCATGTAGCATCATTCATCATATGACCTCCTTAATCCATCAGAAGGATTTAAATTTTGTTATCAAATTGATGGATAGCAATGTTTGGCACCTCTAACACTCATTTCAATGGAAAAAAGTGGAGCAAACTCAAACTAATCCATCAATGCATTATATGAGTCCCTTCATCACGTAGATTTTAAAAATTTGAAAAAAAAAGATCTCCCTACAGTGGTCATTGAGATCATTAAGGGACTCATTTCAACAGGCATACAAAATAGGTGTCGAGGACTTTTTTTTTGTAAAAACAAGGATAACCTTACAATGCTTTTTCCATTACCTCTCCTTAAAAAGTCATTGAGATAATGGGCTCATAAAAACCTTGCTCATCATCCATCAACCATTACTCCCTTTTGACAAGCAATCAACACCACAAACAAAACATAATTTTAGGGACTCATATGATCATCAACACCAACATCCACAACAACAATAAGAAAGAAAATCAACACCAACATCCACAACAACAATAATTAACGTAAGCAACACAACCATCTACAACAACAATATAATCAAAGCTAAGCATTAAATCAAGATCACCAACACGAAAATAAACACCAACATCCACCTTGGCCAACAACACGTTGTTGCTAGCAGCCACAATCACCAAACACAACAACCTCCACCATAAACATCAACATTTTGAAACCAACACAGGCAACATCAAGATGGAGGGCTTGTATACAAGAAAAGTTACAAATGTAAATCCCCCTTATCCTCCAATTTGTAATGTCCTTGTGACTCATTCAAAAAAAAAATCCTACAATAGAATGCAGTTAATCAAATTGGCAGTACGTGTTATTCTTTTTTTGATCGAGACCATCGATATGCAATTGCAAAATACTCTCAAAATATCGCCATATTATTGATTGGTTAAATCATCGTATAATTCACATGTACTGTACCTAGCTAACTACATACTAGTACAATATACCTAAAGTATGGTATAATTTTTTTATAGTATGGTACATTAGGCATATACACTTTAAACCAATTAAAGTTATAATTTTATAAAAATTAAGGATGACAATCTATTTCATATGCAAGTTGCATGGTCAAGTTGTTTAGTTTTGCAACGCCCTTAAACAATCTAGCTGATCAATACTCCAATAATAGCTATTCGAATTTGCTAAATGATTTAGATTTTATGCATGGGATTAGGTTTAACTTTGGAGCTTAATTTATGCAATACAACTAGCTAGTAAGCAAAATTACGACATTAAAGTTGCTAGCAGCCACAATCATCAAACACAACAACCTCCACCATAAACACCAACATTTTGAAACCAACACAGGCAGCATTGACTCAGTATTTTCTCAAATTATAACAAAAATATAGAAGTTATTAGTAAAAAGAGTTTAGAAACTGTTACTCAGATCACTCTGTCAAAGTGAATGCATTTAGGGTGCTTACCATCCTTGTTATCGTCTTAAGTAGGGGGATTTGCTTTCCCATCATCAACAGTGGCGGACCTGGCCTTGTGCCTGGTGGGTCAAGTGACTCACCAGGGCCAAAAAAAAAATCTAAGTTTTATTTTTAAAAAAATAAAAAAAATATACGGTTTCTGGGAAATGGGGTTTGATGGAGTAGATAAAGCTCAGAAGTTGCTTTAATGGAGGAGAGAGAAAATGTCGAGAAAGGGAAACAGAGTAGGAAATCGGGTCTTCAATTGATCTCTCGTAATTTTTCTGCGACCTCTGTCTCTTGTTGTACCTCACTCTCGTCTTCAATGGGGTTTGCATGAGGAAATCGGCACACATGAATGAATTTAATTCAATACATAAGGAAGAAAGTCTTTTCTTACTATTAATTCTTACAGAGGGTACTAAACAGCGCTGCAGAGGAGGGAAAGAAAGAGAAAGAAGAGAGGAGAGAGGAGAGAGGAGAGAGAAGAAGAAAGAGTGGCGTGGATTGAGATTTGAGAATAGGAAAGGGGGGGTGTCTTCTGTACGTGGCTTTTGGACTTTTTAGATTTAGGTTTTTTTTTTATTTTTTTTTTATTTTTTTCCCTTATCAACCAAACGAGTTATTACTTCATACTGCTGTTTTGTGTCCTCTTGTTGCCTTCGATTCTAGTTCTGCTTGCTTAATGCTTATCAACAACACTTCTGTTTTGTGTCCTCTTGTTGAAGATCATATGCATTTTGCCCTATTTCTTACATTGTTGTTGTTTTTGCGAGTGTTTCGGCCTAATTTTCGTATATTTAGTTGGTTGCATATACTTAATATGTAGTTCTTTAATGTTATATAGCTTCTGAGAAAGAGGGTACAAGAACAGAGGATATATGGTTTCTGGGTTTTGGATGTATTTTTTAGTACTGTTATTTGGTTGTTTGGTAAAATTTTTTTTTTACATATTTGGTTATCGATTGTGACTCACCAGTCGGAAATTGTTGGGTCCGCCACTGATCATCAACATCCGCTTTCCCATCATCAAAATCATCTGCAATCTAAGCCCTCTTCCCCCGTAATCTCCGCAAAGTGATAGAAACTCTGGGAGTTGAAGGATAGCGTTTCTTAGGCTTCAGTTTTTTTGGGGACTTTGAATCTAGACCTTGGTCAACCAGATTATCATAAAGCAAAATCCGCTTCCCTCTTTTCGCATCCTCCAAATAGTTTAAAGTCTCCCATAAAGCGTTATGAGAATAGTCACTCAGCACTTCAAGAGAGTCCTGAGAATGGTAAAAGTCTACTGCCCATGGAGATTTGGCCCTAAAGGACTCAATTATAATCCCATTTTGATCAGCTTCATACTCATCATCCGTCCTAAATAAGGCATATGTAAAAGGATCCAAATAATTTATTATGGTTCCGAGACTCAAGGACCTCGACATCACTCAGATCTACAAATTATTTGCTTTTTGGGTGGAAAAAGGGGGCTAATTTTAACAGATCTACCAAAATTTAAAGCAAATTAGACATTCGATGAAAGAGGATGAAGAGATTGAGTGCGCAAATCAGTGAATACGAGGAGAGAGAAATAGGCAAGTGTCGGAATTGAGGAGGGAGAGAGAGAGAGAATGGGGGAAAAAGATGAATGTTCAAGAACTAGGGTTAGAGTTGAAGATCTGGTAGGAATCAGATTTTTTTTGTTGAATAATATTAGGTGAATTAAATAAAGTTGTTGGGGATGATTTATTTTTGGTGGGAGTAATTAAATTAATGAAATCTGATAACTTTTGTAATGACATTATTAGCAACCTAATTTCTGATTTACAACTTTAAGTGAGGGTAGTTTTGTCATTTTATTTTAAAAAAATTTACTTAATAAGGAAAGTTTTGGAAAGTTGCACATAATGCGTAACGAAGGTAGTATTTTAATATCAAATGTTTATAATTTTAACATATTGATTATTAATTATATTATCGATTGAAATAATACATCGACAAATCTGATAAGAGAAGTGTTGCGAGTATAAAAAACAGACGAATGAGCTCTTAGTGCAATTCTATTGGCTTGCTATGCCACATAAAATTTTAAGCTAATTTAATTTATTTTATAGCTAGTTTGTGTCCCAATAATTAGCTGCTAATTTGTGATTTAAATGAGTTAATTTTTAATTAGCTTTTTAAAATTAATTTATACACGTCCCTAGCTACAAGGTGCTTTTAGAGTTATGCTTACGCATGACATTTTTTAAATTTAATACGTACTATTTTTTTTGTTTTTTTTTAAACAATCCCCAAGGGGAAGACTAAATTAAATTAATTTCAATTTTAATTAATTTATAATTATACAAGTGCATATCTAGGGTTAGAGATTTTGTGTCGAGGGGTTCAAATTTTAAACATGTGTCCAACTTTAGACGGCACACCAATTCTTATCTGTCATGCCTTTGAATTTTCTCGTCCATTAAAAAAACCTAACTTAATTTATCACCAACCGACTTAAATACGTCAGCATCCATCTAACCGTCCATTTCACATCCCTAGATCTAATCTCAGCCGTTCCTTCCCACCCTCTTCCTCAATAAATTCCCCTCTTCCGCCTCACAACTTTGTCATTCATTCAATCTTATCATCTACTCGTATTATCTCTCTCCTCTCAAATACCCAACTCTGAATTTCTCAGATCTACGTGATTTAGATCTGAATCATGAATTTCTGTCAATTGATTCGAACATATTGTTCGACGATCTACGTTTTGAGTATGATTTCTTCGTGTTTGGTCAATGAGATGAGCTCTCAAATCCAATTAACTCTGCTATGGCGGTGATGATGCTGGATTTGTTGTGCTCTTCTATTTCTGTAGGTGAAATACTCTAGATCGTATGCAATCAGAAGCAGATTATTCATTGGAGATGGTGAGTTTTTAGATCTGGCCTATTTAATTTGTGGATCTATGTTTCTGAGCTTTCAAATTATCAGATCTTATTGATTTATGTGAATTTTAATTAATTAGTATTGTTTCTTTGAGTGAAATTACTTTTTAGCATGATTTCTGTACGATCTTTTGATTATACCTGCTTTTGATAAATCTCAAACAATTTGATTACAAAGAACATGATATTTTGCATGTCTTCGACCTATAGATTCGGATCTTTTAATTTTAAGTTTTTTGATTATAAATTTGATTTTAAATCTACTAGTTATGTTTAATTCGTCTTATATCTTTTGTTAGATCTATTCATTCAAATGATTTGACTAGTTGTAGACGTTAGATTCCGTTAATATTTTCAAAATTCTGCACTGGATTTATTGAAATATTTTAGAATTTGTGGTTAAATTTTTTCAAAATTTGAAAGGCATATGGATTTCTATTGTATAATGAATATATTTAGCTTAGTTTCAGTCAGGTCTTGGTTCTGGAGCTAATTTAATAATTTTTATTTATTTTATCTCAGAATTGATGATCCTGAATTATGAATTTACAAGGTTAAGCTCAACGTTAAAAAAGCCGTGCTGATGGTGATTTCACACACGGTCGAGTTTCTTTGAAGCTAAAGCGAAAGCGTAAATTGCAAGTGGATATTCGTCTACTCGATGCTCTGCTGTAATGGTGGTTTGTATGTATTGCCAGTATGATGGTATTGGTTTAATGATGTTGATTAGATTTGGATCTGGTAGGATTCATTTCTGTGTGCGTGGTGAGGATAAAAAAAAACTGTGAGTGAAAATATCCGACCTTTGCCATGTCGGGTGCGCTCGCTTGGCAGGTCAACCATCTTAATAAAAAAAGAAACGTTTTTGTGGTTTGTTGGGGAAGATGGCACGGTGTTTTGGCCGGCTCTTCCCCACCGTGTGCTTGCGTCTGTCTCTTTTCTCTCTCTTTCCTATTCTATCTCCGTCTTTGCTTCCCTCGTTCACAATCGTAGTTATTCGTCAATTGACAGCCCCGAACATATCAGTCTATCATCCTGTGGAGCGCTCGGTTTGCAGGTATATTCTCTCAGCTAATTCCCCACTTGAATATTACATTAACTATCAATTTGTCTTCATTTATCATTAATTTAACATGGTGGAGGGTTAAAATTGAAATAATTTTATCGTGTTTGTTGTTTAAATCACCGGATGATAACCTCTGTCAGTCTAGAAGGTAAACATAAGCTAGTTTCAGGATATCCTTGCCGGGTTTGTTACTCGTACCTTGGCGTATATTGATTTAACACTTTCATATTACTTGGTCGTTGATGGTCAAATTACACTAACCATTAATATTTCTATTATGGCAGTTAGCATCAATTTAATCGGGAATTAGAATCATTACTAAATGTATGATTTTTCAAATGAAAACAAATGAGTTTTATGGTCCAATCTACTAAATTACTATTACCAACTATCTACGCCAATAGTACCTGTCGAACATGATCAACCTTGGTAACATAAAAGTATTATTCACCAAACCATTTAGATATTTTTGTACGATCTTGACTGCTCTAGTCAACCAACTTATTTTCACTATTTGTGTTCTGGTCTCCATTACGTTTGTTTTGTTCTCTTTTCATTTTGCAATTTTTATAAATATAATTATAATTATATATTTATTATACATTTATGGCATTTGCAAATATTAAAGTCAGATTTCGATTAACTTTCAACAATATCCCGTGGTGACGTTGATGTTGTTGTCAATGATCTGCCTAGAGGATATCAGTTGTAAAGTAATTGTGTATAGGTTGTGGTAGGTGTTAGTAGGTATTATATGTACTGTATGTATTGTGGTTGCAAGCTTTTGTACATGAGTATTGGGCAGTTGGTTCGACAATAGACCATTCTTATTAATGCGGAGGACAAGCAAGTGGATGATGTTACTGGACTGCTGGTTTACCATTCTTATTCTTGATGAGGACAAGCAAGCGGATTAGGGAGCTGAAGACCCGAAGATCTGAAGTTGAAACCTTGGATTCACAAGGTATTGATTTTGGTAGCTGCATGGGGTTCCTTCGTTTAATCAAACAATTTTGGCATCGTATCTTTTGAGATATGCCCCCTTTTTTTGGTTGATTTGTTCCTTTTCTAGTTCATACATCAGATGTCATTATGTTCAATTGGAGAAACACCTTAAAGTTTCTGTACCTGTGATCCTGCTTGCTCGAGTGTATCGGGATGTTCTGTTCAAGTGGTTGTTGCTGTCGTCTAAATCAGAAATCAAGTCCAGGCATATCTTTTATATTGGCGTTTTAAAGATAATCGGCTTGAGGTTTTTCTGATTATGAATTGAAGCAAATTTTCATAGATCGTCAAGTGGATAAGTTATCTTCTCTGTGAGATTTCGTTTAACATAAAGTACTTCTGCACAATTATTTTAGTTCTGTAAATTTATTGCATAGTTGTTAATGGCCATATACCCAAAATTGTTACAGAGGCCTGTTAAAGATTGATATGAGTTTAATCTTCATGTCAAATTAGTACCAGTTCTTTATTCATTTTTTTTTTCCTACAATTAGTTGCCATATTATTTGTGTTTCAGTTAATGTTTGGTCTTTTGTGCTAAAGTTGCAATATGTTTTATATCTTTTTTTAGCTATTAATTTTTTGTTTTTAAAACACTTGTTATGTGAATTATTGAGTGAAACCTGTGCTAAACTATTTCAGTTTTCTCTTTAGCAGGATTTGCAGTACTGCAGCAGTTGGTTGAATTTTGGTGTTTTTTTTTCCTGAAATTTCTATTTAGTTAATCTACTTAATTATCATAGATGAACCTTTTTTATTTTAATTTTATTTAAAATCCTTTATTAATGTTGAAAATTTGTTTTTTGGTTGAGTATTGATCAAATTAGTTTGATCTGTAATTTTAAAATTTATTATAATTAGCTTATTTAAGGCACTTTTGAATTTTGGTTATATTTCCAATCTCTGTTTAGAAAAATCTACTATGATCATAATTGACTTAATTTTTGTTAATTTTATTACTACATACCATTGTTTTTGCTGACATTCATAGGCATGTTTGATTTTTCTTAAAATATTTTTGATGAAAATTCCTGTGCGTGGTATATTAATTCTTTGGGAACTTTGTTTTAACTTTTTCTTCGTTTGTACTATATTACCTTGATAATTCTTTGTGGTGGCCTAATATTTTATAAGTACGGTTTAAGTTAAAATTATGAATGGTTTATAGCAACTGCTGCAATGGACAATTTTAACTTAACAACATTATCATTTTAATGTTAATTATTGATTAAATAGTCTTATAAGTGCGTAGTGCTCATGACAATATTGCATTGGTTAATTCTAACCACAAAATGGAAGGGCTACCAGGTAGAAGTCTCCTTAACCTTAAAGATAAATGGAACTGTAAGCTCAAATTGGTAGAGCGACCAGGTTTTACAACCTGGTAGGTTGGTGGTTCGAATCCATCCAGGTCCGACAGATTTTCACTTGTCAGTTAATCAATCTGAGCCAACGTTTAGTCATGACTTGGCTATATTTTGGTAAAAAAAAAGACTATTTCGTTATTTTTGTTTTTAGACTTGTGAAGTTACGATGATGTTGCATAATATATTGCTGTAGCGAAATTAACAAGAGAGAATGTTTAGATATTGATATTAGAGTTGTTGTAATCTGAATATTAAGGGTTTTGAAACATTAACAAAGTTCATTAATCGTTATGTTAGGTTAATTATTCAGTAGTTTTGACGAACAGGCCTAATATGCATTAGTTTATGCTTAACGGTTATTTTTGCCCCTTTTTATTTTTAAGGTTTGACATTGGTACATTTGGTAGTGAGGTGGTGAGGCTTAGACAGGCACTACAGGTTTGATGTGCGAAGGACCTTTGGCTAAAGTTGACATTGCCTTAGCTTTGAATCCTGTGATTGTTGGTGGCAACTTGCAAGTATTGTGGAGGTGGCGTAGCTGGAAATTGCAAGTTAAGGTTGATTAAAGGTTTCGGCAAAAAACTAATTTTTTTCATCATTTATTAAAGTACAATTTAAAATACATAGTTACTACTCCATATTATTTTAAACCACTTGTGAAGAAATTTATTTCTTTAGCTATGGCTGGCTTATGTAATTTATGAATTTCTTTGGAAGCATTAAGGGTGAGTTTGGTTGAATAATGTGAAAATTGCAAATTACTTAGTAATTTAATTTTCATGTAATTTGATTTTCTAGGAAATTCTACGTATTTGGTTAACCATGGGAAGTTTTACTTATTTAGGCTCCCTAGGTAATTAAATTACCCATTTTGTGGAAAGTGGAAAATTATGGAAAATTCTATTTCACATGAATTTGTCAACCAAACAACTCAAAAGAATTTCAATTTTCCATGTTTGTATTTATCAACCATACAATACCTATTTGGTATTGTTTTTTGTTTTCAGTTTTCTATTTTTTTGAAAACAAAAAACAAGAAAAAGTGTCTAGGTTCTGTTGTCTGTTTTCAAAATTATCATGATTTTAATAAATTTAACTAATTTTTTAATTTTTTTATTCATTATTTGATATACTTCCTCCGTTTTTTTTATTGTATCATAGGGGTTTTGGAGGCAAAATTTGGTAGTGGGAAAAAGTAAGAGAGAGAAACGTAAAAATACAAAATTGTCCATGTAATGTAAGATAAAATAAAAAGTAAGTGTGAAAAAGTAAGGGTATGCTGGGTATTTGCAGTGTGAACATAGATATTTTTTATCCTAAAAAGGAAATGATGCAATAATAAGTAAACTTCCTAAAGTAGTAAGTGATGCGATAAAAAAAGAACGGAGGAAGTATATCATATGATTTTGAAAAAAAAAAAAAAAAAACAGAAAACCACAGTGATACCAACAAATCAAAGTGTTTTTTTTTTATTTTATTTTTAATACTCCCTTCGTCCCTTATTGATAGTCCCTTTTGGCTTAATTTTAGTCTCATAATGTCCACTCCATTTGCTTTTTTCAACAACCATAAATATTAATTTTTTTTACCAAAATTTCATCCAATTTGCAACAATATTTGTGCAAATTTAACTTTTCCATTTAAATTTTGTTTTTCCACGTACTTTTATTATTTTCCCTCTCCACTTTTTTGCATATCCAATATAAATTTATCCTTCCCATGCATTTTACTACTTATTTATGTTTATTAATTCTCGTGAAAATTGCCCATAAAAGACTATCAATAAAGGACATGAGCAATACAAAACATTTAATCAATTCAATGCCCTCGCGGTCTTAGGCAACACCACCATAAATTAGAAATGATTATTGCTTAAAGACTATCCAATTAAGGCTTTGTTTGATTATTATCTGTATACTTCGTATTAATTTGTCTGTAATAATTTGAAGTTATGTATGAACTTTTATTAATTTTTCTAAACTTATTTCATCAATTTGAACTTGTACTAATAAAAGGATTTTCCATATAACTTCTGAAATCACTTTCTCAAAGATTATGTACATTGTAAATAGCCATGAACTAATACAGAGTGTATCTGCAACTACTTGGGCTTATGGAATGTAAGAGTTACACAAGTAAATCTCACTTTAGTAGTACCAGTATGACATTTTTCAGCCTCTAATTACTTGATACAACAAAGCATTTTGCGTTCGTTGGTATTACTAAGAAAGAATTATTTTGATATCATGGTAATGCAATCAAGCACAATTTTATACAGGTGAATATTATTAGAGCCAACAGTGACTCGAATTATTAAAAACAGAGAATTTTCCGTACTATTATAGAGTGGTCTAATGAGTAGTACTATTGAGTAATTTGAAATTAATTATGAGAAGATTGGCATCACATTTGAGATGTTATTTACCAAGGCATAACTGCATAAGGTATTGGGCCTCCTGGCAAAGCTTGATGTAAAAAATCAAGTGAAAGTGAAGGTGGAGATGTAGTTCGATATCACAAAAATTTGTTTGGAACCATATGCCCCACTAGCCGGTCATACAAAAGCCTAGGGTACGGGGGTCTTGAATCAATGGTTGGAGGCATTTGTATAACAGGCTTGATTGATAGTTAAAAGGCATAATTGGATAGTTTAACCATTTAAGTAGTCCCTTGAGGTCTTATGGGATCCATTAGAAGCAGCTCATAATCTATTCTTGATGTGTCCAAAAATGTCGAAAATCCACTGAAATTAAAGGCTTTAATCCACAATCTCAAATCCATTTCGATTTTATTTTGGGAAATTATCAATGATATCCCCCAGGTTTAGGTTTTTCTCAATGATACACTTCATTAAACTTTCATTATCACCGGTACACCTAAACTTTTCCCTAAATACCTACAGTAACCTTAACGTTAGCTAAATGTTAATTATGTTTGATCGCCACCATTCACACCAACGAAACCAACGAAACTCACCTCCCCTGCTAATCCCCTGTTCCACCATTCACACCAATATACCTCCCCTGCTGCTCTCAATTACCCACGCAGCACCACTTCACGCCCCCATAGCGCCACCACCATTCAACCACCATCCACCAAACACAACCAGCAGCTCGCCACCTCACCGCATCACCAGCTCCAACTCCCACGCATTCCCACACCTAGACCACCTCCAATCACCACCGCAACAACTACAACATCAACAACCACGCAACCCCTGCATCAACCTCAATTAATTACACCACCGTCACTTCCCAGAGCAGTGCCTCTGCAATTCCCTACTGCAACCGCTACCACCATCTCTAACCACCATCAACATCAATTAGAGAGAGAAAGTGAGAAAAATCATAGAAAGATGGAAGATTTGGATGGTTATTTTAGAGAGAAATAAGCACTAACCTCCCCCATTAATCCAAACCCACCCCCCCCCCAAAAATTTCGACCTTGCTGACCAACCCCATCCCCCGATTCCAGCGTCACTGACCTCCCCCATCCTCCGATTCAAGCCGCGTCTAACTCCCTGCCCTGATTTCGCGTTGAACCCAATGTCGAGTTTGGTTTGGTTAGTTTTTGAATGGTTATGAGGTTGGCTGGGTTTAGGTTAGTAGGGTTTTGGGGTTGGGTTGGCTGGTGGTTTTGGGTCTGGTGGGATAGTGGTTCTAGGGTTTGGGTTTGGGTGGTGGTGGCTGAATTGGTGTGGCGGTGGTGGTTTTTTAGCGGTAGTGGTTGAAGTGGATTCGGGGTAGGGTCATGGTTGGGGGGTCGAGTTATATGTTGGTTGTCAAGTTGTGGGGGTTTTGAGGTTTGTGGTGGTGGTGCGGGTGGCGCCACAGTGTTGTTAGCCTATCTAGGTGGTGGAAGGGGTTGGAGGAAGGCCATGGAAGGGGGAGATGAGGGTTTTTTTTAAAAAAAAATAAGTTAAAAATAGTTAATTATTGTTTTTTAAGTTAAAAAAATTGAAAAAAAAAGCCAAAACTAACTTTTTTTAACGGAAAGGGTACAGTAGGTGTATCGCTGATAACTGTGTGAAACCTTGGGTGTACCATTGATAAACAATAATTGAGTAGGTGTACCATTGAGAAAAGCCCGAACTTGGGGGGTATTATTGATACCTTTTTTTTTTCAAATTGAAGTGCAGGGTGTTTTTCGGAGTCATAAAAGCTGATTTGAAACCATAACATATTTACTAATGGGTGTATAAAGCACCACAAATGAGTTTAGCTAAATGATGTGATTTCAATCATTAACCAAGCATGAGTGCATCTCATCGTATAGTTGCTATGTATTTACAATGCATATAGGATGACAGAAATGTAAATTTGGCAAGCTTCGGAATTAAAAATGAAAAAAAAACTGATTCTACAGTGGTACATTATAATGTACCATTAAAGTATAAATTGTCTTATAGTACTTTTTGTATACTATTATGCATGTAGTGATACTTTTTGCCATCCTATAGGTTGAATATTTTCCCCCAAAATACTTATCTCTTGTCATCTATTATGCATGTAGTGGTACATTTTTCCATCCTATTTATTTGCTAACAAATAGCAGCTATACGCTAAGGATTAACCGGCATCTAAGGGTCCATTAAGAGTATACCTTTTGATGCTCTTTTGTAATTATTTAATACAAGTAGAGAATTCTTCTGGTATTTTTCATCAAATTTATGAACTACAAATTCCAAAATTCTCTTCCTTTCTACAAAAATCAGCTAAAAGCTCCCAAAATGCTCCCATCGAAAATACAGCAAGTTGTATTTTTGTAAACTTTGTTGAACACAACATAAGCAGACAACTTTGAAAATTGAAACCTTTACTCATTGGATTGCAAACAATATACGCCTTACCATAGGATGATGTACACTTTCATAAACGCGTAAGCCGACCATTATTCAATTGAGAAAAACGTGTCTAAAAACATCATGGTAACTTCGTAGACAACTAGCAAGCAATCCCGTAAAATTTTACAAAATATATACAACTCGTATTATAATATTAGAAAGCATTGATTTTAAGAGAATTACTATAAATCATATTCAATAGTTACTTATATTATACCCGTAAAGATGTATTGGGAAAGTTATGTTTAACAACAATGCCATTAGAGATTACATCAACGATTATAGACTAGTAAAAATGGTGGAAAAATGACAAAATCTCCTGGGAACCTAAAAATGACGGTCCAGGAATACATTTTTATAGGCAATTGCCAAAAATATAGTAAAAATATTACAAGATCCAAAATGAAAGGAAAAAGAATCAAGGATACTTCAGAACCAAGGGAGTCCCGGCAATGAGATTCAAGAACACAAAGTTAGCTTATGATAAACATACAGAAGCTCTGGACGTGGAATGAGGCCGACATCATGTTGCTTGTGTTGTACGAAGCTATTTTTCTTGAACCATGAGATGATCCCACTGTCGATTTTATTCCCTATTCTCGAAGAAAAAGAATTTTTGGTTTTGTAAGGTTTAGAAAAAGATAAAGATAAAGAAAAAAAAAAAAAAAAATCTCTCAACGTAAGTCACAATTCCCGCGGCAAAAACTTTTGTACAGCTCAAAGGGTCCTGAAAGAAGAGGCTTTCCTCCTTTCAAGTTTCAGCCTTCTGCTGGCTTCACTCTTTATAGGCTTCAGCAATCGCTCAGTTCCAATTTCCGACTGAAGGGTGGACTGCAACTGCCTTAGATGACCACTGCACTGTTTATGGCCAGTGACAGTAGAGCTATTGACAGTCGGTTCTTCCAAAGTTACCTTTCTTTGATAAGGCGAATGCCACTTAGCTTGTAAATAAGCGAGGGACCTCCATGGAGGAAGAGGCATAGAATTCTGCTTAAGAGAAACCCTGGCAGCTTCAGCCATAACTTGAAGGAACTGTTTCAGCTTTATCAAAGAGCCCACAAACACAACTGGAAGTGATTTCAATATCTTGTCATATGATTCAACAGCTCTAGCTATCTCAAAGTGGCTTCGAAAATCAATGTCAATTATCAAGCGTTCAGTGCTTCCATCATTCAAGTAATTCACCACATCAATATACTCATGGTCACCTTCATTAAGAAAGGAATAAAAAGAGAATACAATCAGTTCACGTCTACTATACTTGTCACTAAGATAAGACCGCTCCAGAGTCTCCACTAATAAAAGCTTTTTCACATTGAAGAAACTAGACAGATCCCCACATTGTCCGATAGCGAACGGTTTATTAAATAGATTATAAATTAACCAGAAAACTCTTTATGTTCGAAGAAAACATACTCCAAATTAAATATGAGTATTTGACAGACAACGGCCACACTACAGACAATTAAACTCACAACTCTTAGATTATATTGCACACATAGTTCCAAAAGTTCCAACTTCTAGCCAGCAAATTCTCTCTCTTTCCCCAACATTCATCATGAACTGAATGAAATTTAGCAAACACTAACAATGAATTACAAAGGCTAACGTTAACAATATCCAACAGACACACGTGTACTTTCTCTCAACATCCTACATGCTTTATAGTGCACAGTTATCAGCAAAAAGGTTGGACATTCAAACAGTTCATAAGAAGGATAAATACAAAAATACTACTAAAAGATGTTGAACAATTACATAGAGCCCCATGAACCGACAAAAGCGAATAGCTAAGGAATTTTATTCAGCTAAAACTGATTGTTAATTCTACTCTTAATTGCAGTAGATGTCAACATAACAGAGTGATTTAGAATATGCTCAAAAGTTGTGATTGTATAAGAATTTTAGGGATGTGACTTATACCTCCAGGAACCTTGTTACAACCTTGCCATTTTGAAGCACACACTGCAGCATCATAGCCCGACGATCTGAGAAGCTTTACCAAAGAATAACGAATACAACTTCCATTGCACAGACCTGACTTAACAAGCTGAAGATCCTTTCCACCCATCGAAAGTAAAAGGGATTGGACAACAGAATTCAGGTCACTCTCATACTGATCCACCGAGCGCTTAAAGAACTGTACAATGGCATTAAAGAAGTGCTCAACACAATAGCTAGAGGAAACATTATGTCAAACATCTCATAGAGGCTATAAAGTATAAAATCAAACCATGAAAGCAGAAATGGACCTAATGAATGTCATCCTATGACAGTATCACAAATTCACAACAACAGGTATTGATATAACTAGATTAGGACCATAACTACAGCATTACCCTCTCAATAATGAATCTTAGGAACTAAACAGAATTAAATCTTGAAATTGCAAAAGGTGCACAAGACGCAATGCAATTAGCTACTTCTATCACAATACTCATATGACATAAGAATCAATACTCGATTAATAATTTCCTCAAATATAAACTTCCAATTTTTTTTATTTTTTTTTAGGAAAAGTTTCAATAAATTAAAATCAGAGTTTCATTCCCTTATTTCCAAGCAAGTATTTCAATACTCAAATATAATAACACAATTCTTTTGAAGTGACCGTAACTGTAAGAAATCCCAAAATGTCATTGTCTAAGGTTAATTCAATCAAATTCATAGCACAAAATTCCAAATTTACAGAGCTTACAAACAATTTCATCAAAATTCAGCCAAAAAAAACGTTCTCTTCATGCTAATTAAATTCACTACTCAGCTCCTACAAGAATTTCTCAATTAAACAGGCAATTTTCAATAAATTGGACTTGAAAATTCGTTCTCTCATATGCAAGCAACTGAAATTTAAACATAAAATGTCTAATTTAAGTAACTTCCTAATGTAACAGTAAGGAAATTCAGCTCAAAATTAAAATCCATTTATCAATTAAAAAAATAAAATTGTAAGAGCCAAATTCAACATTTACTAACAGCAAAATTCAGCTAATTTCAATTCTTTATCACCACAACTAATCAAATTACAAAATTTTCTTCAGCTCAAACAATTTTTTCAAAGTAAATTCCCGCTAAAATCACTGTAACCAGCTCAAAACAATCCAATTTCCACAAATTCAAACAATTTTCATCAAAATTCAACCAAAAAAATCAAAAAATTGAGCTAAAGAAAAAGTACCGAAATCTTGTCGGCGAGGTGGTGAAGATCGGAGAAACCAGATTCTCCATCACTGCTACACAAAGAATCGGCACTATAACTTCCATTATTCTCAAGAAAATCACTAACCATGGCAGCCAAATCATGCTCGCTTTCATGGCTGAACTTTCTCTCTCCTCCGCCACCACCACCGCCTAACACCGTTCTCCGCCATATATCTCCGGCAGGACTACAAACCTTGACTTCCATATCATTCACCTCCGTCGTCGACGCCGGAAAAACCTTGGCGCTTCGATCGAACCACAAATTTCCGAACCCTAATTTCTTACCTGTTGTTCGTATTTTTATCATTCAATTAAAATTCGAAAACTTTTGAATTCAAAGATTTTCGGCAAAATTTGACCGGAGAAAAATTCAAATATTCAATTAACAAACAGCTGAAATTGTTAATTGTATGAATATAATTGAATTCAAAATCTTTGAAATGATTTTTTTTTTTTTTTTTGTATTTGTATTTGTTTATGAGTATTATTATTTTTTTTTATTTATTAATATTCAAATTAATTTGGTATGTTTTATGATCCAAAGGGTGTGTTGGTGAAAAAATAAATCTGAAGAGAGAGAGAAAAAGTGATAAACATACCCAAAGGATGAAGAGAACGAACGAATTGCGAAACTTGGTCATATAAAGAGAGTGGAGAGAGAAATCTTTTTATATGACGAAAATGCCCTCACCTATTTTCCAGAATTATGGAGCTGTTACTGATTTGTAAGTTTTGATAAAAAAAAAAAAAAAAAGTGATTAATTCAGCGGGAAGACAGGAGGTTTTTGGATTAGGTTTTGAATTTGGACGATAATTAGGCCAGATTCTTTGGGTTTTTTTTATTTTTTAAATGACTTACGCTATTCCGAATATTTTGGGTTGTTATTTTTATTTAAAGGTGAGGAAAAGATGAAACATAATGAACTCGTGTATTAGTCATTAGTGCTCATGGATAGGTTGTTATACAAAAATAATGGTGATAAGTTTGTATTTTGTATATAATATTTGTAAAAGACCTTAGCTTAAATATGTTACTTGGTCATAAATTCATAATACGAGGAACTAAAGAATTATTTGAAGGGTAACAATCAATAATTTTGTTAATTTTTATTATGTACTTCGTTACTCCATATGTGCAATTTTAAAGGCTCTATTAAAAATGTTTAATTTAACAGAAATACTCATCCATAAATATTTGTTTGGATCACTAAACTTTATTTTATATTTTAATTTTCTTTATATCGTCTTAAATAGAGACTATTGTTTCTACTGATAAGTTGTAACGATTTTTTTCACCCTAAACCATACGAAATAAATAAACCATAAAACTTGAAAGGTAAGAATGCAATAGAAAAAGGGCAATGAAGTAAAAAAAGGATAACAGAAAGAGTAATGCACAAAAATAGGAAGATGAATCATAATGACAACATTATTAAAACAATAAAAATGTTATGGCTTGGGGAGCAAGGTAAAGTTATAGAGGATTAAGGAGAGAGAGAATTGAGGAATCTTATTATAGAGGATTACACTCTGGCTGGATATAATACAATCAACAATAATCAATAATTTATAAATCAATAATCAATCCTCTCTTTTTTATTTTTATTTTGAAAAAAAATGATTGATAGCTGATTGGATGAACCCATCAAAAACGCGCTTCACACGGCTCCCACCCTACTACTATTCCTAGTCACTAAGAAGTTAACAGCTTTTTTGAGTTTATTTACTTACTAAAGTTGAGTTGGAGTTGTCTTTTTCTTTTTCTTTCCTTTTCAAAATTATGACGACATTTTCCCATCATCTTTTAACTTCTTAAGGTTGGGTTGTGGGTCCCTTTATACCTAGCTCCCTCTCACATGAATCATTTGTGATTTTGGTGGGTTAATTCATCTTTATGTGTTTGTATTTTTTTTTTGCTCATAATAAATAAGTTGTGTTTGATTTGATTTATGCTAGAGATACAAAATACTAATACTCGTATGAGGTATACTCCGTTATCAATAACGGGGTATCGGAAATTTATTTTTTTTGGTACGGAGTATAATTTAATGAAGTAAGACCCTGTTATTATGAGTTGATGTGGTCTACTCTACTCTATTCATAAGCTCAAAAGAATAGGGTCTAAGTATTTTTTTATTTTATATTTTAAAACTTTTTTTTATTAATTTGAACACATTTCATATATGGGTAAACTTATTTTGTCTTTTAAAAGAATTATGTCACATTCAAAGCTTTATATATTTTCAAAGTATGGGATAAGGCGATAATACGTGGAGCAGAAGAATTTTTCAACGACGATATTATTTAATTTTAGCTACAATGATATTATTTAATAGAGTATCAAAGTATGGGAAGATATTCAAGTTTTAGCGAGCTGTAAACTTTGAAATAGCTTCCAAACATGATAAATCATCATTCATAGCTAGGGTTGTTCATCCGAAGACCGGAAAATTGAATTTCAAGAACTGAAAACCTGACCTATTAAGCTAAGACCGAACTCGGACCAGATCGTAAAAATCAATTCAAAACTCCGAACGAACCGGTTTGGACCGATTCTAGATTTTTTTTTTTAAAAATACTTAATTTAAAATAATTTATGAAAAACTCGAAAAAAAAATAAAGGAAAAACAATATTGTAACATTTTTTTTATATTTAGTACAAAAAAGTACATACAATTAAAGTTTTCCAAGCTTGTTAAGGATAATCTTAATCATTATTAAAGGTTTATGTATAATTTTAAGCAAAAAACCGGTTTGATCCAAGCCCGGTTTTTATAGGGTTTTGGACCGGAGACCGAAAAAATAAATTTCTCGACCCAAAAATCGGACTGATTAACTTGGTCTGGTCCAGTCCGGGGTCGGTCCGAATTGGTCCGATCCTTTTTTTTTTGTCCAGACCAATTTTAACACCCCTATTCATAGCATATAAGATTGACCCGTGTAATAAACTCCTAATAAGTCCTAACAACCCCAATTGTAACTTGCTCAACGTTTTTATCATAATACACTAATATGTTAAAAGTTACTCCGTTATACTATCCTAACCTCCTACAAAATAGGGGCAAACCCCTCTTAATTATTTTCAAAACTACCTCAATTAACCAAACATTTTAGTTCTTCCTTATAAAAGATTTGCCAATTTCAATAAATTCACCCATTCATAAAACAATCATCCATAAGACCATTAACATTATCCAAAATGCCACCCCATAATCACCTTATCCAATACCTAATCCTCACGTCTTGTACAAAAGCTAGCGTGTTAATAAATAATTTGCTTGGAAAAGTAGGAATAACCTAGAGAAGGTTGGAATTAAAATTTGATTAATTAGATCTTGTATATTTTATTATCCGTATTCTTCGCATTTAGCCATTGACTTTTACAATAAGCCGTGGTTGATTAGTTGGTATCTATCATTGTTTTGGCTAAGCAATTGAATTAATAATAACTTAGGTAACATGTTTAAGATATGTTTCTAAATAATGTTTTGTTTTCATCAAATCTTAAAGTCAATGCATTTCATACGGCAACTAGATGAGTTTTGAAACAATGCTTAAATAGTTATGCATCAAAAATCTCAACGTAGGCCATTGAGTCAACGTTGAAGTCATCTCATATGGATTAGTCACTCTATTATATAGTAGGGAACTAGCTTAACACCCGTGTCAGGCACGGTAATTTAAGTCTAAATTTTTTAAGAAAATTAATTATATCCAACAAATAAGATTTTGATAAAACATACACATCAAATATATAGAAATTATAATGTCATAGTTTATATTAATAGGCAAAGCAAAAAATTAAACAAAAATGGATTTTTTGGGCTCTTCAAATCCAAGATTTTTTCAGGCGGGACTTGGTTTGATCCGGTCTAGTGGCCATATTAGTAAATACACACACACATTAAATAATATATCACCTTTTATATCTTAAAAATCTTTTCAATGGAAATAAATAGTACTTTGATCATTAAAGGCAATGCAAGAACAATCAATAATTGGGCAACACTAATCTATATTATTATATTCTCTATTTATGGATTGATGCTCTACATATACGATATCGTCATTCTCTGTTGTTATAAATAATGTGTTTGAAGCTATCTAATAATTGTAGTTTAATCAATTTTGTTTATTGTCTTAAAAGTTTAATTGTTGATAATAGATATATATCAAAAGAAAAGAAGATACAAAAGGAGATGTCAATTGTCACTAAGTCTGGCGTGTCTCTCAGTATGCAAGTTATTTATGAATGTCGAAGTAATAAATTTATCATCTTAATCAAGTGTATGGCAAAAGATAATAATTTTTTTAGCTTTTACTATGATATTGATTGTTTTAATTACGTAATTTACAAAAAAAATTAATTGATACTTTACCTTTTCCTAGAATTAGACATATGTTATACTATACTTTATAAATCCTTAATTTATGATAATATATATGTAGTATTAAAATTTCAAAACAAAATTGTAATTAATTTGAATATATAGTTATAATGAAATTGAAATAAAATATTAGCGAGAGGTATTTGAAAAAAAATAAAAAAAATTAAGTGATGTTTTAAAGTAATTTCTTTAACATCTATTATATGAATCTAATAATACTCCATTTAAAGGATAATTAAAACACACATTCTTATATGTGGCTAGCCATATGGTGTGGCCACTTCACATAATCACATATAAGGCAATTAATTAAGTTATAGAGGTCACGGTGATGAGCAAATGGAGTTACCTTAACGTATATGTAAGTTACTTAAATGAGAAAAAGGAGTTACTCTCTTAAATAAGTGGAATTATTCTTTTATTTTTTAAAACAAAAGAATAGGGGTTACTCGAATAAACAAATGGGGTTACTTATTTCTAAATTACTTGATTTTACTCGTACATGAATTTGGTTACTTTTATGGACAATATGGGGTTACTCTTATGAAAAAATGAGGTTACTCATACATATAATGAAGATTACTCTTATAAACTAATATGGTCACACTGTGTGGCTAACCACATACAAGACTTACCCTAATTAAATAGGTGTTGGAATAACTATTTAGGTAAATGTGTGTAGAAAAATTATAAACACAAAGTAAAAAGAATATAATTTTCTAAAGATAATATAAAAGATTTGGAATGATATTATTATAGAATCAAATATTAACAAAAAAAATAAAAAAAAAATAAAAAAAAAAATGTTAAAAAGGGAAGGGGAGTTTTGGAGGGAAAAAACAGCATCACAATGTGACACGTGTCACTCCCGATGTCTGTTTTAGTATTATATTATTATTATTGATAGGGATGATAATAGAATCTAACTTGCGAGCTACTTGAACTCAGACTTTGCTCGATATATATTGCTATGATTTAGCCATAATGGAGCTCAATTTGATAGACTCACGAACATGATTGAAATGTTTGAACTAAAGTATGCTTACATGTTACAAAGATTTGAAAATACTATCAAGGATCACAAAATATTAGCAAAAACTTTAACTATATAAATGTCATGTTGTGAATTGTGTACATTTGCTTAATTATGATTCTTGTATTTAAATTGTGGTTAAGCAAAATGAACTTGGATATTTTAGAGCTATCTAAACTCAAAATCTTTGGAATTATACTCGAGCTCCCTATAGATGTTATAGCCAAGTTGAAGAATCATAAAACTCTTCTCATCTCCTATCACATATCCAGTAAAAATTAAATACTACTTCTGTTTTCTATTATTTGCAACAAAGTAATTTTTTATGTCTTACAAATAATACCCTTTTTTTTTACAAATAATAAGAAACGAAGGTAATATATACACATTACACTATGTTAGTTTAAATTATCTGTACAATATAATATATCAACGCGAAAAGTATCAACCAACAATACATCAAATAAAATGTCTTGAAATAATCATTTGATAGATCAAATAGTATCTTCCTTTCAACTAACAAAAAATTCCACTACTTTAAACAATAAGGAAAAACTCCCATAGAACATACGTAGTATTACAAAAGGGGGAAAGGAGAATATAAATGATTGGCTAAAGATCGTCCATTGATCAAAGAATATTGAGATAATTAAAGTCAAGAGATTAGGTCTTATGCTAATGCAGAAGGAATAATCAGACTTTAAGATCGCCAATTGCCCAATTGGATATAGCTGGCATAGGTTTGCACCTGGAAAGAGGTTACATTATCTATTTATTTTTTATAACTTTATAAACTTATTTTTGATAATGATATCGAATTATTTAATAAAATTGCATATTTGGCTATTTGCATATGCTTTGAACTATAAATTAAAGTTAACACATTTGAAGGCTGAATAAATTAATGTGGCAGGTAAACATTTAATTGCCAAGTGTAATCTTATGAAGTCAATGATCAGATGAAGCTAGGAGTATGATATAATACTTCAAATTAATTAGGCAGGTTGATTAATTTAAAAATATGAAGAAATCTAGTCAAACAAATATTACGAGTTCACAACTATCCAATCTCAAGAGTTTCTTTAAAATATTTCAATTGGTACAAGAATTTTAGTTGAGCTAACTTGTTGGATGAACTATATTAACATCCTATCTACACCTACATCTTGATTGTCACTTTAGTTTTTCGATATCGAATCTTGACTTTTAATTTCATTTTTTTTTTTTTAATAAAGGGTGAATTTTTGTTCTTATCAAAAGTATATAACTCGTTATAACTTTACCAGATTATTATCATATAAGTTAATAAGTACATTTGAGTTTGTAATACAAACTTAGCAATATTTTATTTATAATTTCTCAATGCATTTTAAAAATATATTGATTGAAATCATAGCTTCGATATCTAAGAATAAGTTGCCAGACCGTGTCTTTCTCTTTCATTAAAAGATCGGGCAATGTTGCCGCTCATAGCCTGGCCAACATAAGTTGTAAGTTTGATGAGCGTCGTATTTGGTTAGAAGAGTACCCTCTTGAGATCCAAGAGGCTATTTGTAATGATCTTACAAACTTAAGTATTTAATAAAACAGCTATGAAGTGTCCAAAAAAAAAAAAAAATAAGTCCTTAAAAATAAATCTCTTTTAATCCAAATTACAAGCATTAGTAAAAATAATACTCGTAGTAGCAGTAAGTTCAAAATGAATTTATATCTCAATAATCATTGATATGAAACTTCCCATAAATTATACATGTATATATACACTTATTACATCATAATCTAATACAGCAAATACCACCCATTTTCTCAAAAAATGTCAACAAAACTAGCCAACATATGCGCTCAAGTTTCCATATCTTAACAAGCAAATGACACAAAGATTAAAGAGTGGCTTCTTTGTTCTAATACAAGTTTGCAATGCATGTTCCATTAGCATCAATGTAGCTTATAATTTCTGAAATAGAACACATATTTTCCTCAAATCTTAACATTTTGAACCATCTAAATTTTCTCATAAAAGAGTACAAAATCTAATAAAAGAACTTCAACTTTGATCATTGTGATGACAACCATATTTACTCGAAATGCTAAAACTATCTGTCGACATACGACAAAGGAAATTCATTCATGCACCTTTCTCTCTAGTCTTTGTGGATCTAATCCAAACAAACAATAACTCATTCTATAAAAATAACCAATAAATGAATAATGGGATTCCTCACATGTTCTTGGATCACTACTAGTAACGACTTTGAGATCAGTCTTTTTTTTTAAGAAAAAGACTATCCTGTGTATTATATAGGGTAGGGTAGATAGAGTGGGGACAAAGGGAACATAAAGTGGTGTAAATTTAGGTATATCTCTTTCATGCCTACCCATTTCATTTCATTAATCTATAGAGGTATATCCGTATATGTTAGCATCTCCTTCCTTTCTTTTGTTTTACTACCCAGTATAAAAACAGGCCTACCAAGTTAAACTTGGTCTAGTGAGAAAGATTAAATCTTTTAAATTTGAGATTGGGGGTTCAATCTCCATTAGAGACACTTTGAGGATGGTAATCTCGTACCCTCTCCCCTCACTCTCAAAGTGTCTGACCCGCAAATACTAAACAAAAAAAAACCGTGAAGGTTGAGGTACAGTCAGGGTCATTCTTCATACCTTTAAAAACAAGCTTTTGTTTTTATTGATAGTTACAAGTAATCCCTTCGTTTCATAATATCTAACCCGATTTGTATTGTTTGAAGTATTTCATACTTATCCGTTAATCAAAATATCCATGCGTTATTACTCTGTGCAAATACTAAAATAAAAAAATGAATTTTGTACTTTTACTCAAATTTTAATTAATTGTAAATCATACAATTATTAACAACCCGTTAATAGATATGCACAATTATAGAAGACACTTAACTAAGTCAAGTAATTTCTTTGAAATGGACATGTTTATAATTTTATTTCATATAACTTAATATTTTTAAATATTTTCAAATTCAGAAAAGTTTTAATCAAACAACAAATAAAAGAGATAAATTATGGTCCCTCTCTATCCTCTCTTTTTCCTTGTTACTTCAAAGCAACATGGATTTCTATGAAGCCTACAAATATTATTATGGCCACTAGACACACACTTGGCATCCGTTAAATGCAAGAAAATATCTGTAATTTTCTTAGATCACCTTCATATATAAATGATTTAGCATATCTTTATCAATCTATTAATACATATAATAAATACAAGTAGAATTATTTATTCATATTGTATGCAATTTAAGTCATGTTTTTATGGAGTTCATCCTAATCCTGTGACAAGTGGGTGACACTTGTAGTTAGGAAAATGTCAGCGTTACTTACTCTACTGGCAAATGTGTCTGAAAGGATAGTGCAATAAAGATGAAAACTACAACCACAAAATACAACTTGATTTTTACTTCGTATTTAACTAAAGCTAACTATAAAGGCTAGTTCATTCTTCATGGGAGAATTACCAATAAAGTAGATTTTTCTAAAAAGAGTGCTTTAATTTATACATGGGTGAGGAAGGTACTCCTAATCCACCTCTCAATTAAACCTAACATCAAGAGGAAGATAAGGACATGCAAAGCATCGAATTCACTCGCAATCGAGGTTATTGTATACTCCCTCTATCCTGCAATGCTTCCTCTATTGACAAACTTACTCAAAGGGCCTGTGTTGTATATGCATTATTGACAATATAATTGTCAATTGGACCTATTGGTATATTATTGCAATATTGCAGCAAAAAGGCAAATATTATCTTCAGTCATGTCAGTGATATACCAATAACTCCTATCATTATTTTTCATGATAAATCTTCGTGGTCATATATCAATCACAAACCTTTTTTTTACCCAAAAAATTGTTTTTTCCACATTCAATGTAAGAATGTTATGGCCAATGTACCCAGCTGATAAAATGAAACATCAATGGGGCCAAATTAGTGTATAAAAAGCTTGCATATGACAAGCAGAACTTGAATGATAACAAGTTCCAAACTTTTACCAGATAGCAAATGCCAAAACCTTGGGCATTGTTTGGTTCTCCCTACCAATATTATTCCTAAAATGATTAACAGCATCAAAACTGCTTACCGTGTTTCGTACAAATTCAACAAAACTACAACCCCCAACCGCGTTACACACAATTTTTATACCACAACCTACAGATGCTCCACAGCAATTTCCTACCTGAATGATCGGAGGAAGTGCAGTTTTTTTATAGAATGGTGAAGAGTCAAAAGAAAAAGAAAGGGTTTAGTTACACTTCATCACAGAACTATATGCTATAACATTAGATAAGTACTTTATTTAAGGGATAAAAAAAAATTGTAGTTAGTTCAACAAATGTGATCGAGAACCCAACTATCTGGGCACTAGACACGGAGATTCTCTCTATGATTTGCAAGTTATTAAAAAAAATATCCGAAAAAAAAAAAAAAAAAAAAAAAATTTGTTCATGTTAATGATCAATCATCCACGACAACCCATGACCAAAATACAAACAACGCTAAAATAGAATTAAAGAAAGGAGATTTGTTCAATGACTTACATAGATTATGTGCAAGATACATCAGTTAGCCTAAATTATACTGTAGAAAGCCATGTGCTTGTTGAGCAGGAACCACAAAGGTAGCAACCTGTCAGGAATGAGTGAATTTTCAATTTCAAACTTTCAGGATCGTCGGGCAAAATGACATATTAAAACAACAAAACTAAACGCAATCAACTGCTTCTCGAGGAAAACATGTACTTGACATTAATGGATTACAAAAATCAAGTTGTCATGCACTTCTATGTCATTACAATTTACTCTATAATACTGCCGTACGAGGAATAATAGTAAAAGCACAAAGCGGCAACTCATATTATGGTCAAAGTAACCTCTTATTATTGTTAAAGACGGCCAGTTAATACATGGTCATCTGCTCATCTCTCCTTGAATAGATAAACCGCCATAACGGCTGGCATGCAAACCACGATGATAAAAAATAATTCTAAGTCGAGTATCTTAACCAATCTTATTTTTCTGCTTTCTAACCTTCGATAAACTATTTCTTCTTTATTCAATGACTGGTTAAAGTCAATGCTAAAGATTTGAATACTTATTGGAACTCCTTTATTGACTAAGCTGATGTCCTTGTATGTTCCTGAACACTGTCTAACAACACTAATTATATACTCCATATAAGGGCTTTGTTTGACAAAAGGAGCTTCGCATAAGTTTAAGCTCAAAATTAGACTGTTTCTATAATTTTTTTCAGGATATCATGTTAAATTTCCGACTTGTTAGTGCTTAGCTAGCATGCGTCAAATTTCAAGAACTTGATCAATTGGAAGCTTACCAACGAGGAGGAACAACTAATCTGTTCTTGGGAATTGACTTTCCTACCGACGACGCAAATCCCTCTGTAGATAAAAAGGCAAGAAAGTACAGGGCATTAGACAACTATAATTTTCCAAGTCATGCAGTCAATGATGAAAACCATTCTTACTTCAACCTAATTTCTATATGCAACAGCCTTTAAACATCATACCTACTATAGCATAATTTTAAGTATTTCACAATTCAAAAGTAGCCTCTGTCCCAGGACAATTTTAACATCAACAGAGGCATGATATATATTAGTCACAAAGGCACATGCAGAAAAGCCACTTGTCAATGGTGAGAACAAAGTGCTTCCTTCAATCACAAGCAAAAACATGGAAGAGCAAGGTGCACAATTATGGAATGGTATATCTTTAGAACGGTATATTTCTAGGATGGCTGATCGGTGTGTAAAGAACGTCTGAAAGAGTTCAAGCTCAACAGTCTGAACACCAGCATGTTAATAAGTATTAGGAGTACAACTAATGGAAAATTGTCAAGTTTTAGTCAGAATTCAATGGCCAAAACAAGTAGATGTATACGGGCAAGACATGTTAGCAATACAAATGGTTTCACACCTCACCATAGAAGAGAAGTAAAAGCAAACATTCAGCAAGGAAAAGTCGGAAAACACTGAACCTTAAAAGCAGCCTAACAGCTATTCAACACTAGCTTTTACATTAGATGATGAGGCCTGAACCAGAATCCAGAACAAGCTTGAGAGCACATTGCTCCAAGAACTTCTAAGGCTCCAACCCTTTTAGCATTAACAAATGTACACTTGCAAAAATTAAACTTACTCTGGGCCCACGGTCAGTAGCCTGTGGTTGTCTAGTAGGCATTTGAACAGGTTGTTGAATCATCTCTGGACTGTCATGCTTGTAAAATGACTGGAGTGTTCTCACAACAAATGGGCGCACTATATTCACCTCCATTGCAGAAAGATTTTTCAGCTAATACCAAATCACAGGCAAACAAAACTAATCAGAACAGCCAATGGATACACCTCATGTTTTCACTTAATCAAAGATCAAATTCAAACAAGCAAATCCACATATCCACAAGTTCAAGATGGCACAATAAAATTTGGTACATCCAGTCTACTTTAAGTGATCGTGTCAGGGTCCATACTGAAAATTAGCAGCATTACTCCCCCACCGCACCCCACAAATGTGTCCTGAAAAAGAGCAACATAATATGCAAGGGAGTTGCCTGAATTTACAGCCATATACTTATCAATATCTAACAGGAACCAGAAAGATTGATAAATAAAGACATTACACACAATCTTTTCTGTTAGTCAGGTAGTAAATTAGGAGTTTCAATCGTTAACAGTAACAAGCTGACACCAACAGTTGGACCTAAAATCAACATCACATAGACAAAAGCACTTATATTTTTTTATAGATAAAACAATCAGAATACCCAGATAAAAACTTGAATACAAACCTTTGCACAAACAAACACCTATAGTTTGCCTATCGTCTTCATGGTCTAAGACAGTAACTAAAACAAACTCCTATGCTACATCATTGCGAAGGAGAAAATTTAAGTGCAATTCCATCTCATTGTAGCCAGTCTGATCTAAACCAAAAATATTCAATATGTTTGTCCGTTAGTTTTAATGACAAGCCATCTATTAAAATTTGTCCAATAAAATCAAATTCCTTGAATGAAGCCTTTATATGTTGACTATATTTGCTAAGAATTACGAAAGCATTCAAACCATATAAAACTGTAAGACGTTATCACTCAATTGTCACGCTAAAATGTGCCTCAAGATATGAATTTCAGCATTAAACATTTTTAATTGGTCTTGAATGTTATTAATTGAGCTTATTTAGCTAGAGAAAGTACTTGATAAGAGCAATAGAGCACAATGATCACTGCCTCATCATTCATCAAGTTCTGTTGCTGAGCACAAACAGATACTCTGTGAAATATCTATGTTCCTTGTTCTCAATATAGCAAAAATGGCACACACTACAGTTCCACAGCCATATCATTTTCCCATTTGGCAAGATAGCTTCACCATACTTTACACCCATATTCCATTAAATGAATAAATGTATCATGCTCAAAGCTGCCTTCTTCTGTCAAGTTGAGTCATAAAAAGTGTCAATGTTGTTCACTGAGACTGATCTCTGAATTCATCATAATGGTCTTACAAAATCCTTTGTTATAACTAACATCGTATTCTCAGAACTGTCACTTGAATAACCCCCCCCCCACACACACACACACACACACTCTTCCCATTACTTCAGCTTATTACTCTTACTAATATGCCAGGACAAAGCCAATAAACTGTTGAAATTACACATATGCATTTTCTAAAATAAAGCAAACTAAAGGGCAAAAAACCACCAGCACATTCTCTCAATATGCTTCATAATGATTCATGAAAGGCACAACTAAGAAAAACAGTCATGATGTCTTTGTTAAATGAAGCTTAGTTTGAAGCAACAAACAATACCTTCACCGCATGCGTCCGAGCAGAGATGGTCTCCAAGCCAGACTCGACTTTATGGAATCTCACATCCCTAATGTCTTCAATGAGAGACCTCACCTGCATAACATGAGTGGGCTAAAGTCTCAGCAGGGCAAACATCAAATGCAAAAAACATGTTTCAAAAATCTTCAACTGACCATATATATGTCTGGAATATCATCCCTGGCACTGGCATAAAACAAAATCTATTAGTCAGTTCAACCTCTTAAACGGTCATGGATCAAGTAAACTCTGTTAATTAGGACTTACTGGTCAAAGAGAAGCCGAGAAATTTCGATATAATGGAAAGGTAGTGGCTGAAACTCCTTAGGGGAATCTCGTTCAGACTCCAAAACTTGTGTTAACCTCTCTGGTATCCACAAATGTATATGTCAAGTCGTTAACACACCCCGTGAAATTATGTCATAACACAATGCAATAAAATCGAATTACATATATAAATACTGCCATATCTTCATATTCCAACAATTTAATTGGCAATAAAACAAAATTACAGCCACAATGCGCACACATGTTGACATAACTCATATTATAAATCCACTTTACTGTAAATTTTATTTGAAAGTAAGCTCTCTATACAACAAGACAACTTCCTAATTGGATAACTTTTATGTGATCTGCGGTAACATAGTTTGTCGTATACTATATGCCGGTTGTATACTAAACAATCCCATATTCAATTGACAAGAAAACTCAGATGAATGTGCTCACCAATGGACATCCACTCGGGTGGTCGAACCGTGCACTTCCCTCTTTTCTTCAATGCCACAGCAAGCCACAAAGGTACTTGTGTTGCTATTTGGGGGCGGAATGGACCATAATCACCCTAATAATCAAACCAAACCACCAAATTCAACCTTCTAATAAAATCAATTAGGGTTTATCCATAAAATTTTGACAAAAATAAATAAATAAAATTAATCAGCAAAATTACCGATATCAAATTGAGAGGCTCCATTCTCATATTAGGTACAATTTCAATCATTTCATCTTCAGCCAAGAATTCCATCTACAAAGTCCAAAATATTGCATTTCTGACTAAAAATAAATAAATAAATAAAATTGATGAAGATGATGTGAGGATTACCTCGGCTGCTGTAAATACTGAAGACTGGGGATCTGATTGGCCCGCCATTTCTGGAAAATCAGCTGAATGATTGGCTGAAATGCTTAAATTTGGAGTTCGTCGCCTGAATTTTGCCTAAAATGATTGATAAAATGGAGTCTGGGGAAAATTTTGGTTGCGTTAAATTGCAAACCCTAAATTATGATGGCGGGAAATGAATGGACTAACTAATGTCACTGATATTCACCTTTTGAATTTTTCTTTATATTAAGAATTTTTTTTTTTACGGGAATATTAAGACCTTAATATACCCTCAGTAATTTCTATTAAAATCCACTAATAATTATGGTAGTCTATGCCACAAAAAATACAAAGTACAATAACAAGAGAGAGGTGCTGTGGTCTAAGACGTCGCCTTACATCCTCGAAGTGTGATGTTCGATTCTCATCAGTGATTTCCCATTCATAGCTATCGATCTATTAGTTGTGCAAGGCAACGCAAAGCTCTAACATCCGTTTACAATTTTTGCTACTTAATGATGTCATGCATAAAAAAGACAATTGATAAAACGAAAGTAAAGTAAGAAACTAGGTTATATTAGCTTAGGCAAAATGCTAAAAGAGGTTGTTAGACAAACCTAAATATCTATATATTGGATACTAAAGGATTCAGACTATGTTAGTGGTCTCATGGAACTGATTTTGATCAAACTTTATGTCGAGAAGGACTGCAACAATGACATTTGATTATAAAGTTATCATAAAACATTTGGTTAAGTTTTGTATCAAAATGTATAGTCTTCCTAGGCTGGGTTTGATTAGCTTTCAAGACGAGGGGTTGCAAATTGTTGAAAAGTGATTAGTCGAGTCCAAAATGACCAAGTTTATATTAATCTCACATGAGACAAACATAAATTACCCTATCATTTATAACACGTTCACCGACAATTTATATATTCATCACCTATCTAAGGCAGGTGCATACATATAGCTATATGAACATAAACCTAATTTTATCCTTGTTCGATGACTCAAGTGGATATATACTACCCACTTACCATCCACAATAATCTTATTTTGAAAAGAATTATGGTTGTAGATACAAGGTCTACATTAAAATGTGAGGCCGTAAGATAGAGTATATAGATATAGGGCGAGTATGATTTCAAATCTATCACATATGTACTAGACCAACACCATCATATACAAAATGCTTGGAAGTAGGAGAATTTTCTTACCTCCCCCCTCTACTCTCAAGCGTTGATCTGATTAAACCTGTGAGAAGTGTCGGTTCAGTAAAATCCTTCATCTTACCTATTTATTAAAAAAATACCATCATATAAAGTAATATATATCTCATGCTTGAATGATACGTACCCGTTTAATATCTATCAAAATTACCCATATTTGTTCAAACTACAATAATTGGCATGGCAAAAACCGCGAAATTATGCAAACATGAAGCCATCCATAGGATTCGACACCGCCTAGGTGTTAGTCAACTCTCAAGTCTCAACTCATGTGCTAGTGACAAGGAGCACACCGTTTTGTTCGTCACTTGTCAGGCTGTTGCAAAACTCACTCACACCACACACTTTAATCTATGGAAAATGTCGAAATTACCCTCGCAAAACGCAATAATAATGAACCTTGTCCAAAGTGTCAAGGTCATAAACGTAATTTAAGCTCAGAAGTTACTAGAATATCCAAATATTCGCACCCGCCGAAAACCACACATAAAATAAACTATCCACTCACCTCCTTCCCTTCACATCTGATCGAACTCACAGTCACAGAAATCTCAAAACCTAACTAACCTCAAAAAACCAAATCTCAGAAAATTTTCAATCTTCTTCTTCAAAAATGGGCAGGAAATTCTTCGTCGGAGGCAACTGGAAATGCGTCAGTCTCATTTTCCCTCTCCTATTCACTCTCTTTGGTTTTGAATTTTTATCGATCTGTTGTTTATGTGCTCATTAGAAATGTTGATCGATTTTGCTTTTTGTGTATTTTTTTTGATAATTTGTTGATGTAGAGTTAATCTGGTATTGAATTTGTGAAATCGTCGTTGAGTATGAATTTTAAATTTTTAATTTGAACTATTGATCAAATCTAGATAATGATGCCGTTTATTTTGTGTTGATCTTTGTGATTTGTTTGTTGATGTACGATTGAAGCTTTTAGTATAATTTTACGAGTAATCAGGGTTAATTAATGCTTGATTTAGTTGTTTAATTAATTCATATGAAGTTGTTTGATTGTTTATTTAATTGGACAGTCAAATCAGCAAATAAGATGTTGAAGTAGTTCAATACTAGCTAAGAGGTGGAAGTTGTGACTAATCTAATCTCATGGAGTAGTAGAATTTTAGGAAGAAATAGGGTTAATAATGCTTGATTTAGTTGTTTATCAATTAACATGAAGTTGTTAGGTTGTTCATTTGATTGGACAGTCAAATCAGCACTTAAGATGTTGAAGTACTAGCTAAGAGGTGGAAGTTGTGACTAACTTCATGGAGTAAGATAACATGATTCAATTTTAGGAGCATTTTGGTAACATCTGGAGTAAGTATGTTTGATTTAATTGTACTTAATTAGTGTATCGTCGTGTCTGATCATGTGTTGATTTATGTTTCTTTAGACAAGTAGGAGCTGAATGGCATATAATATTTTATATTAAACTTCATGATTGCATTTTTAGAATAGACCTTACTATAAAATGGTGATGAATTTAGTATCTATATGATATTATATATATGGAGTTAATGGAAGTTGTATATAAAATCAATGTTGATTTGAGTTATTTCAGTATTAACTAATTATTGATGTTAATTTATTTATTTTTACCTTTTCCTTGTTGCTATAGAACGGGACTTCAGGAGAGGTGAAGAAGATAGTAGAAACTCTCAATGCAGGGAAGATCCCATCAACTGATGTTGTTGGTGAGTGATTGTGAATCATATAAGGAGTTTGTGAATTAATGTGCTTTATGGTAGACAGGGCAATTAAAATTCTTTTTTGTTTGGTTGCTTTCAGAGGTTGTGGTCAGTCCTCCATATGTTTTCCTTCCCGTGGTGAAAAGCTCATTGAGGCCTGAAATCCAAGTTGCTGCCCAGAATTGTTGGGTTAAGAAAGGTGGCGCCTACACCGGTGAAGTTAGGTATGTTGATTATTTTGTTCTGTCTCTTTTTTCTCGGTTGCTTTTGGCTGCATTTTTTTGTAGGTTTGCTTGTTTGTGCTTTTACTTGACATATTTATTCATAATAATTTCCTGTCTCTTGATTATGTGTAGATGTCGTTGGATTATCTGACCTTTTTGCAACCAAAATATCTCATTTAGATGTTCACCTTTATAAGTCTCAAATCTCTCAATACGTGGGGGGTGTCATATGGATACTTGTCCTGGTGGTTATTTTATGTTTTCACATGTTTGTTGCACACTATGCTTCTTAATTCAGTTATTGATTTGGACTTCATTCCATGGCATTGCTTTCTTTAAGCATAATTTCAAGCAAGAGATGGATTTGAGACGCTGACTCTTATGCTCATTTTTATGCCTATTGTTTCCTGTCCATTATGGGTCATCTGTATTACATATTTAAGCACATCATCAGGGATTTGTTGCATGCAGAGTCATGTGTAGTAGGAACCATTCATAATTAAGGCATCGTTCTTGCATGATGAACTAGGTCCCCCTAATTTTATTGGCACATCTTAGATTTAGTACCTTTCATTTCTTGCTTGTTTTGACCGGGTCTGATATATTAGGTTGCATGATATCTGTGTTGAGCTTACTAGAGCTTGCTTAATACCAGTTATCTAATAATGATTTAACCTTTTTCTTTATGTCATTGATGGTCATGCAATTTTTTCCATCATGTTAGTTTTGTTACTTTGTTCATCTGAGAGATTTTCCAAGTACAAAGTTTATAATTAATAATGTGAAAATGTGTGTTTTAGATGATGGGTGCTGTTTATCCTATGAGTTGGACAAATATATAGATGAATCCATTATTAAGATACTTGTGAAGAGTTTTGTTATGAAGAATGTCGTTTCTGAATGTTATTTTGGGCTTGTAATTTGTCATTGACATTTATATAGAACTATCAAATTTAAAAGTTGTTAACTTTGTCCTTGGGGGCTATCAGATATTAGATGTGTTTCTAAACTATAATTTATATACTTCTATCTTATTTGAAAATTTTCTAAATGCAGTGCGGAGATGCTTGCTGACCTAGATATTCCATGGGTCATCCTCGGTCACTCTGAAAGGAGGGCTTTGCTAAATGAGTCCAATGAGGTAGGATTTGCATTTTCAGCTGAGTTACTATTATCATGGTTGTTTTTGCAGTGCATCTTTTTGCCTTGGATAATTTCTGTATTCTTTGCTATTTATTTCTGATATGCATATTTCTTCCTGAAGTTTGTTGGGGACAAGGTTGCATACGCTCTCTCAAAAGGTTTGAAGGTCATAGCTTGTGTTGGAGAAACCCTTGAACAACGGGAAGCTGGTACCACTATGGAAGTTGTTGCTGCACAAACAAAAGCAATTGCTGGTACATGTTCTGATGCTTATATTTGATAATATCATTGAAAATGTTGTGCAATTTCGATGTAATATTGAGCTTGAATGTGACTAGTCCAGCTTAAGACTAGATGGGATTCATTTAGTATATTAATGCTTTAAATGTGTGAACTAATCAAATTTGTCTGTAGCAAATATCTATGTATTATTATAAAACATAACTCTATTGCGCATAGTTTAGCATGTTCACCATGGATCCCCGGTATCTACCCAATATCCCCTGTATCTACTCAATTACCTCACTTTTGTGAAAAGTTAGTGTACTGATGTTGGTAAAAGATGAATAGTCATGTATAGCTTTGTCTAGCAGAATATGGTTAATGACCTCTATATGATTATGTGCTCATGTTAAGCCCTATCTCACTATGTGGAATTTATTCTTAGTTATGCATGCACCTTTATATTACTATAGTTTTACTTCTTGAGCATGATTGGATTGTAGATGTCAAGATTACTTTATGATATTTCTGACATCTGATCCAATATGATTTTATTACCACAGACCGAGTAACCGACTGGACAAATGTAGTTGTTGCTTATGAGCCAGTATGGGCTATTGGAACTGGAAAAGTTGCATCTCCAGAGCAGGCTCAGGAGGTATATTTTTAGTTTTCTTGTCCAAATTGGGGTTGGAGTTGTTTTTTGTTCTTTCTTGCTGCGTTATCAAATTTCTGCCTCTCTTTTAACAATACAGTAGCTAAGTGTGTGGTTATGATTCTATGATGACTTAAAAAAAAAAAAAAAGGATTTAATTGCTTGGGGCAGGTAAGGCTATGTAGATCTCTGACCTCAAGCCTGGAATGGTTTTATATTGGGTAGTTGTTGCAT